GTAGATGCCAATCGAGAGTTCCTCCGGCAGGAGCAGGTGGCGACCGACGCGCTCTTCGCCGAGCTCGATGCGGAGATAGAGGAGGAGGCCAGAGCGGAGCAGCCGAAGCTGCAACTGCTGTCCATATATCCGGAGCCGGGCACGGAGATAATCGACATGCCCGACAAGGATTAGTTAGGTGATTTAAGTAGTATGTAGGTTTTTTCGTTTGCATGCTTTTGTATGGATTTAAGAATCTAATATGAAATGTCTCGATACAGTTGTGGTAATTTGAGGAGTGCCCGATCATTACCGCGGATGCGTCCTGGTAATTTGCGTGCGTTTGAGAGGTCATATTTCTCATATGCACTTGTAGATGCTCTTATATTACTTTTACAGAGGGAATACAAGTTACCCACTCTTTACGCAGTCAAGAAATAATATCCCACACGAAACCACTGGCGTACATCCCTATCCACGTACATACCATAGGTAATCAGATAGCTGCCCCCCCTAAGCACCATTAAGAAAATACTAATGCTTAGTTTAATCATCACCATTTCTTTTCTCCTGAACATCTGTCCACCTGCCATAGTCATGCCTTTGTCATTCCCCCTCTTCTAAATTTGACTCCTTATGTGCGCAACATCCTCGTCATGCCGCGCCATCCTTGATACTAAAAGTATCATTTGTAGTATTATGTAAATTTGCGACAAAATCTCTAGTTGAAAGGCACCTCTTTTAAACTTTTTTTTGGACGGGACCTCTTTTAAAGGTTACTTCTATACTCCTCCGGTGTCGACAAGATGCGCCACTTGAGTTTTGATGTATTTTTCTCCTGGGGATCAAAGCGGATGGGAGGACTAGTATGTGATTTTTTTTAGATTCAATCTTTTTAAATGAATATCTCTTAAACCGAGCATCCATATTACAAACTATTTCACCATTGTACTCCTCACATCGAGATTTTCATAATTAGATCTCATATTGATAGGAGAAGCTATGCCATGGCCCTTGCCTTTTAAACGTCATCAGTCTGGTAGTAAAAAAATGACAGTAGTCTCTCCATGAGATGAATACTATTGGCCTTATTTATCTTTGACTATGCCATTTGTCAAAAACAGCCATGAGGACTTACGACAAGGTTGTACTCGTTTTTTTTTTGTTAGACTGAAGGCAAGTGCTCGCGCCATGTAGTTTGGCCTCGTCGACGGGAAGGAGGAGGTCGAAACGGCGGTCCCGAGTTTGCTGGTTGGATGCTGGGGCAGCGGCCCCTAGCTATGGTTTGGTGATTGCCCTATGTGGTGGGGTTGTGGCTTTGCTCTGCGTTGGTGGCATTCCGGCGCTTCGAGGGTGGCGAGGTCTATCATGGTTGTGGGTTTTACATGATTGTCCCTTTATCAATCATGTGGTTGGAGTTTTTGCACAATTGTCCTTTTATCAATCGTGTGATCGGGTTTTTTTACATGGTTATCCCTTATCAATCATGTGGTAGATATGTATCTGTGTGTGTTTGTTTATCGAGTTTTTGCAATTAACAGGGTAATTCTTTTCTTCTTAATGAAATGCAGGAAATGCCTCTCTTGAGGTGTCCTATAAAAAGATGGATTAGAGATGCCTTAGGCCTTGTTCGCTTACACCCCTTCTCAAAGGGATTAGAGAGATCCAGAGAATTTTGACTTGTAAGAGCATCTACAGTCGGACTTCTCAAACCCGTCTCATATGTCTAGGCGGGCCGCTCGGTCACTGTCCGGTCATGACTTTTTGACCCAAACAGGCCTCTCAAACGGCCCTCAAACGCCCGGTCTGACCGGCACCCTCCATATCCGGCTCAAATATGGGGCGGATATGGGGCGCCCGGACATGCCCGCCACGTCAGACCCGACAGTCCGACCCCATCCCAAATTACACCAAATCCACCAGGAAGACCAGCCGAATCCATTTGTTATCTCCTATCTTCTTCCTCCTCCGTGTCGTCCGTCTCGCGCTCCGCCGCCGCGCCCGCTCCTCAGCCGTTCCTAGGCTCTCCGCCGCCAGCTCCGGAAGAGCCATCCCGTCCTCGCCGCGGGGACATCGTCGCCGGCCCGGAAGCCACCGTGGTACGTCCGGCAACTCTCCGGCTCCGCCTTGCGTTTGATGTGTTCGACACATTGTCCAACCGTATTTTTTGTAACTTTGTTAGATAAAACGATGGATTCCGATACTTCGTAGGATGAGGAGTATGGACCGATGGAGCTTGCCCAAATGATTCAAGATGAGTTCTTCGATTCGTCGGATTCAGACGAAGAAGTGGACATGATTATGCTCATGAGCATGCAAGAGGAAATGGACCGGCAAATGGAGCATATTCTCAATTCAAGGGCTCAATCAAAGGGAGAAGAATGATCAACCGGGACAGGGTGTCCGGAGCAAAGCTACTGCACAAGGACTACTTTTCTCCCAAACCTACTTTCCCGGATGATCCATGGTTTCGTTGCCATTTTCGTATGTGAAAACCATTGTTTTTGCGCATTGTGGAGGGAGTGGAGGCACACGACGACTACTTCAAGCTCACGAGGGGTTGCTGCAGCCAACTCTCTTTCTCGACCAAGCAGAAGTGCACAACTGCTCCGAGGATGCTTGCACTTGGTACTGCTGCAGATGCCGTTGGTGAGATGGTCAAGATGGGGGAGAGCACATGCCTGAAGACTACTGTCAAGTTTGCCCGCGCCGTGGTGGAGGTGTTTGGACCTGGGTATCTCAGAGAACCAAATGTGCAGGACACCGAGAAGTTGTTGGCTATTGGCAAGGGGGCTTCCAGGAATGTTCGGATCAATTGATTGCATGCATTGGCAATGGAAGAACTTCCCTAAAGGTGTGCGAGGAATGTATCAACGTCGCACCAGAGAGGCCATCATCATACTAGAAGCGATGACATCACATGACTTATGGATTCGGCATGCTTTCTTTGAAATGTCGGGTTCTCACAACGACATCAACGTGCTTCAACGATCTCCGGTGTTCAGGAGGCTTTGCAATGGGAAATCACCGCCATGCAACTACACCGTCAACACCCGAGACTACAACATGGGGTACTATCTTGCCGATGGTATCTATTCTCAGTGGGCGACGTTTGTGAAGACCATATCCGAGCCGCATGGCAATAAACAGAGCCACTTTGCAACAATGCAGGAAGCGGCTAGTAAGGATGTGGAAAGGGCATTTGGTGTGCTTCAGGCTCGTTGTGGAATTGTGCGGGGCGCTGCAATAATGTGGGAATCAGAAACTTTGTGGCAGCTGATGACATGTTATATTATTCTGCACAATATGATTGTCTATGGTGTAGCCCAAACCCATGATTTCAAAGCAGTTGGAGAACAAGTTGAAATTCTGGAAGATCAAGATATGGCCTAGTTGATGAAATTTCTGCAGATGCATCAGAATCTTCGAGAACAGCAGGCGCACATGTAACTATTCAATGATCTTGTGGAGCACATGTGGACCTACAGTGGCAACCAAGAAGACAATGCTTGAGTTTTGCACTTAAAATAAATTTTATGTAAACGCTATCTATGCTTGGTACCAACAATTACTATTTACGTGTGACATTGTGTTGCATGATCAACGTGTATGTATTTGCATGAATTTTAGAGTCCAGATTTAAGATATATGAATGCCCGAAAGAAAATATAAGAGCATGTCTAGATGCACCCGCGAGCGTGTTCGGTCGCGTCCACGGGTGTTTGAGGGACTGGATTTGTCAAATTCGACTATAAATATTCTAAGGGATTTTATTCTCCTCGTCGCTGCCAATCCCCCTAAATTCCTTGTGAACCGAGGCCAGGCCTTATGAGTGTTTGGTTCCTTGGATACGTATACAAGAGCCTACCAACAACCCTATTTCCTCTTGTTAAAAAAACGCACCTATTTCCATGTTTGATCGAATGGAGAACACTTCACTGCCGACAAAATAACAAAGGCACGGGTGCACTAAAATACCAGGATTGATGCAGGTACCTATGGATCCCTCAAGATATAAACCAAGGCGACCGAGTTAAATAAAGTTGTAGAGCCGTAGTGATATCATCACAAATTCTGGATGCCGACAATGGTCCTTTCCTTGTAATATACTCTCTTCGTAAGAGCAACTTCAATGGAGCAATCCATTTTGTCCATCTGTATTTGTTTGGATCAGCGCGGACAGAAATAGTGGCCCAACGCGTCGATCCAAATTCAAATCTCATCAGCTTCGTGTCCGCGCCGACGCATTTATGTCCCAAATTTGCGTCCTAAATGTGTTGGCGCGGACGCGGAACGGACGCCACGCGCTCCTTCTTGGTGTCTGTCGTGGCTCTATCTGACGGTCGTCCAACCGCGTGCGACCACCGGTTTGGATGAAAGCGATGCCGGCTCAGGAGGCGGCGTACCTCGAGATGTGGCGCCAGCGACGGCTGGCTGAGGAGCGCTGTCGCGGCGAGTACGTGGCCTACATCGTCGTCGCCTGGAACACGGCGTTCCCCTGGGCTAGCCCTGCGCCGACGCTTACCGACCTCACCGACCTCACCGGCTTTAATGTTTAATTAAGTTGTTTTATTTTAAATATGCATGTATTGTTTTTTTTCATGACACCGTCAAAGTGGGTCGGGTAAGCGTTAGGCGCATACGCCAATCCAAACCCGAAAGCAAATCGTCCGTGTCCGTCTAGCCAACCTAAACGGACAAAAGACGGAGACAAAATGGCTGTCTAATTGGGTCGGCCCGTTGAAGTTGAAGAAATATAAGAGTGTTTAGACCATTGTTTTAGTGATGTAAACACTCTCATATTTGTTTACAGAGGGAGTAATTGAGCTTATTTCTCTAGGGAGGGCTCGACGGTAATTTGGGTGGGATGGAGTGGTTAGATAGATTGGTTCACGGAGCTAGGGATGGCACCATTCATGCCCCTCGACCAGCTTATAACAAGTGACCCCAATCATCACTTTCCCCCACACACAAAGGCACAGTAGAGAAGCTCCAGATTCAGGTTCAGCTTCTCCATAGCAATGGCTGGCACCGGCAGCACCTGGCTCCTGGTGTGTTTCCTCGCCTCTCCAACTCAATTTCCTTGTTTCCTACTCCATCTTCGTTTTCCTCTCCCCTCTTTGGACATGTTTTGCTTCTTCACTTGCTGTATCGATGCGATCTATGCAATTCATATTAGAAGAAATTGGTTTGGGTGATTGGTATTTGGTTGTTCTGAAATCCTTGAGGTGATCTCTTTCTTTGACAAGATTTTCTTGCTTAATTGATCACACAGCTGGAGCAGAAGGGAGCTGGGCCGGGAGCAAGGAGCTCCCACGCGATCACGCTCGTCGGCGGCACGGCCTACTCCTTCGGCGGCGAGTTCACGCCGCGCCTGCCCGTGGACAACACCATGTACGCCTTCGACCTCAAGGCCCAGTCCTGGTCCGCCCTCGACGCGGCCGGCGAGGTGCCCCCGCCGCGCGTCGGCGTCACCATGGCCTCCGTCGGCGCCACGGTGTTCGTCTTCGGCGGCCGCGACAAGGACCACACGGAGCTCAACGAGCTCTACTCCTTCGACACGGCCACCAGCACCTGGACCCTGCTCTCCTCCGGCGACCACGGCCCGCCGCACCGGAGCTACCACTCCATGGTGGCCGACGGCGAGGGGAGCCACGTGTACGTCTTCGGCGGCTGCGGCAACGCCGGCAGGCTGAACGACCTGTGGGCCTACGACGTCACCGCCGGGCGCTGGGAGGAGCTGCCTTCGCCGGGGGCGGCCTGCCCTCCCCGCGGCGGGCCCGGGCTGGCGTTCGCCGGCGGGAAGGTGTGGGTGGTGTACGGGTTCTCCGGGGACGCGGAGCTCGACGACGTGCACTCCTACGACCCGGCCACCGGCGAGTGGGCCGTGGTCGACACCACCGGCGACAAGCCCACCCCGCGGAGCGTGCTCTGCGCCGCCGGGGTCGGGAAGCACGTGGTGGTGTTCGGCGGCGAGGTGGACCCCAGCGATCTCGGCCACCTCGGCGCCGGCAAATTCTCCGCCGAGGCCTTCGTGCTAAACACCGACACCGGCGCGTGGACCAGGCTGGATGACGCCGGGTCTGGCCACCACCCCGGTCCTCGGGGTTGGTGCGCGTTCTCGGCGGGGGCGCTTGACGGCCGGCGAGGCATGCTTGTCTACGGCGGCAACTCGCCGACGAACGACCGGCTTGGCGACATGTTCCTCTTCACTCCGCTTCTAGCTTGAGCCAGCAGGCCAGCTAGGCGGTGCCCGCAGCTCTGTGTGCAATTGGAGTGGTCTGTGACGAACTTGCTGCTGTGTGTCATAGTAGATGATTTGCATCTTGTGTTTACGTTGTGTATGTAATAAATGAAGAATAATACGGAGTACTACTCGTAGTAGTAATGATGAATTGGGTGTTTTACATTGCTATGCGAACTAAGATCTCATAGCTAATTCTAAATCCAAATGCTAATCTCTACTCTAATGGACGAGTTAATGAATAGTCTCCGCGGTTTAGTTTTTTTCGTCTTTCCTCTCACCACCCCCTCCCACCCTGGGTGGTCCATCAGTTTATTTTTCTCTCCACTCTTTATTACAATCAGAACTTTCCTAACGTATAACAAATCACAGATCTAACTTCCTTAAATTATGCAAATCAATCGATTTTTTTATTGGTTGAATTTATCTTAGGAAACAAATAACAGATTTTTCAGGAAACAAATAATACATTTTAATCTAACTTTCCTAACTTATCTAAATCAATCGATTTCTCTTATCTCTAATCCTAATGGATGAGTTGGTGAATAGTCTCCGCGGTTTATTTTCGCTGGGTTTTTTTCGTCTCTCCTCCCACCACCCCCTCCCACTCTGGTCCATCGGTTTATTTTTCTCTCCACTCTTTATTACAACCAGAACTTTCCTAACGTATAACAAATTACGAATCTAACTTCCTTAAATTATGCAAATCAATCGATTCCTTTTATTGGTTCAATTTGTCTTAGAAAACAAATAACAGATTTTCAGGAAACAAATAATACATTTTAATCTAACTTTTCTAACTTATCTAAACCAATCAATTTCTCTTATTAGTGAAATTTGTTTTAGGAAACAAATAACAGACACGTCACAACTTTTCTCCCAATAAATAGTTTCTTAACATTTGCAAACTTTCCTAATCAGACACATCACAAACGGGCAGGTACTGAGATCACGTTACCAAACAATAAAACCCAATTTGCATAGAAATCAGTCCAAAAATCCTAACTTTCCTAAATTTTTACCTTTCCTTGATAACAACCAATATTTCCTATGTTTTCCACCTATTGAAGGAAATCACCCCTCCATCGATATTAGCATTTTTTGGAATGAGATCTCCGGGTTATGATTTTTTTGCGATTCTTTCCAATTATGACCTCTCCTTCCACTCTGTCTCTTTCTCGCATAAACACCTCCACCACAGCCAGGTGACACCACCCCAGACCTCCTGCCTCTCCACACCTTCTCTGCCACCTCCTTCTCGCACTCCATTAACAATCCCTCCACCATATTTGTCCACGCCGGTGTCGAGGGCATGGCGCAGCAGCGTACCCGCGGTAGAGCATCGCATAGCAGCAGGAAGCAGGCGAGGCGAGCGGACCACAGTGGAGGGCAGAGATGCGGCCGGCGTGGCTGAGGGGGCGGCCGACAGAAGATGGCCACGATTGGAGGCGGTGCGAGGCAGGGGCGCGACAGCGGGGCGAGCGAAGGGATAGGCGGCAGCAGACGGGGCAAGCGTAGCCAGCGAGAGTGTGGCGCGTGGCCAGGGTGTGTGTCGCGCGGGGCACAGTGGTGTGGTGGCTGCGGCGAGCGCGACGGCAGCGGTGGACGCGACCGACGTGGTGTAGCATGGGCATGGGCATGGAGAGGGAGTGGCCCCGCGGGCGCGGAAGAAGAGCGGCATGCTCGGGCATGGGCGTGCATAGGAGCGGGCATGTGCCACGGGGTCAATCCGAGGAGCTCGGTGGCTACCCCTGCAATGGCCATGGCGGACGGCGGTTCTCGGCCACGGCGAAATACCTAACGAGAGCAAACGAGAGGGGAAACAGGGGAAAGGCAAGAAGAGATCATGCCGGTGTCAATGACGCCCTAGGGGAAGACATGGGAGCTCGGGGCGGCGCGGATCGAACAGCAATGTCGCGGTGGCCCAAGGTTGAGGAAGACGGCATCGATGTCGATGCGGTGGTGCTGGACTTGATCTAAATATATCGACTAAATAAGCTATGCTGATTGGCAGTAAAGTTGAGCTAGCACCGCTTGATTATGTTACATATAATCGCCAAGATCTCGTCAGGGGCATCATCTCTTTCATGTGCTTTACTGCATCACATATGTCGTGTCTCGACAGCAAAATTGTAGGAGTAACCGGTCCTGGTTGCACAACCTTTTGAATAAGAATAGGGCCAGGCAGATTAAGGAGTTCGCTGCCGTGAAGAGTTGGATTGCGTGATACCACCAATCAATTGTGCCATTCTTTTGTTTTTTAGGAGAAAACGACACGAGAGGCTTCTATTGCATTTAATTAACAAAAGGTATTAATGTTACATATTTACAAGAGGGGTGCCACTTGTTTGTTGTTTTGCCTCATTTGCTCTTAACGCGTTCCTACCTTCTGTCATGCGATGCCAAAGGCGTTCCAGGAGGCGTTGCGCATGATGAAACGTTGGTGAGTCACATGTGCACCAGGTCATCATGGCCTCCAATAGTACCACATGGTACGTTGAGGTTCACGCATCATTAACAGGTTGAATATGAAGTTATGTGAGTCATAAATTGGAGTGGCTCGTGATTTTGTATGTTAGCCCTTCCTTGTAGGTGCTTCTCAAGCTGGAGGACAACATATTAGTCAAGACATATGGATCCTCATTGATGTTTTATCTCTCGTCTGCACTTATTTTATTTGCTCCAATTCTATATATTGTCACGAGTAGATGAGGTGTAAGCATGTGCAATGTAGTTCCTTTTTCTATATATGGTGATTGATTTCTTCTTTGATAACCCAACTAACGAATGGTAATCAATCTTCAAATACCAAAACCAAACATACAAGGCAACAATCAATTCACGTATCACAATCAGATTCTTCTTTAGTACCCAACTTAACTCACGGATGGTAATCAATCTCCAAACAAAGGAAACAATCACCGTCGTTTACCTCTCGCCAATGTTACGTAGAAATAACGCTGAGAATTTAGATGTATTGTTTGTCATGGAGCTGTGGCTGGCCGATTACATGAAATTAATTTCCTCAGTTGTGGTGGCAAATATAATACACATAATCCATATTGTTATGCACTAGCGCTTGTGCGTGTGAAATAGATGGATTATGGTCCCGTACCCAATAAGATGGATATGTGTATGTTAGAGAGAGAGAGAGAGGGGAGGGGGAGAGACAGTGAGGAAGATGGAAGGAGAGGGTGTGTGTGAGAGTTTGATGATAAAAAAGATCGTCAATGTCACTTAATATGTATGAGAATATTAAATGTAATATTAACATAATTGATATTGAACTCTTAAAGTTAATGTGCCCCATTGCAACGCACGGGCGTTCTTCGAGTGTACTTAGAGGCAGAGGACAGAAAGAAATTAAGATGAGGCGAAGACTTAAGCAAATATTTTTCTTTTATACAAATCGAAAGAGTCGATACACACTACGAACGAATAACCAAATACAGTGAAAATGTAGACATGTTTTAATCGGTTTTGCTATATCTCATGTGCCTGAAGTTTTGCCGAGTTTGACTGGTTGAGGAAAATTTTATTCGCGTCAGTCGCTTTTTCTAGTTCATCCGAGCTTGCCGGAGAAGGGGCATCCCCAATATCTACCTTAGAGCAAAGCCATTGCCCAACTATCTATCTTAGGAGCAAGCTATTACCCCATTATCTATCTTTAGGTGTGGTGGGGTGCAAGGGAATACACCAGAGTTCTTCATTGGTGTGGCATGACTTAGAGGGATGGCTGAGGCGGTGGCCAGCAACAACGGTGGGAGGAGGTTGAGGGGAGGGCACGGGGGGCGAGGGTACGCAGTAGTGCCCGCCGGCCGTGGGTGGTGGAGGTCGGCGGTTAGGGTGGGGCAGGCTGGGGGAGTCGTGAGGAGGAACAAGAAAGGGAGGAAGAAAATGAACAGTGCATGATCTATTTTGGACGGTTTGATGAAGATCTGATGGTCCATATAAAAATTGATGCAATCTTTCTTCAGGTAGTTGACAAATAGAAGCTACCTATTTCAATTGGAAAACAACCTAAAACATATCGATAAATATAACGAAGCTTTCAATGGCCAGCCGCCGCCAACGCGCTGTAGCTTAGGGTCTGTTTTATGCCTGGAGTGGTCGCGTGTGGTGTTCGTGTGTGTCTCTTCTTCGTGCCTAGGTGCTCGATCGAACCTGGCCACCCGGCGTCTCGACTTTGGACTGGTTCCTGGCCCAACACAGCCGACCCATTAGACCAGCGGCCAACCTCTTTCTGTTTGTAGCATTTTCTGCGAGCAGTACGAATTAGAGATAGTTGAGCTGATCGATGCATAGGTATAGATTTTTTTGCTCAAAATTAAGGTATCGCAGCCGCCATACCCTGCCCACTAGAGTCCTCTGCCACTGAATGTACTAACGTCAACTCTAGACATTTTGCACCTCTGTCTGCATCGACCGTTCGTGATTGGCATGCACGAATCTCAACGTGGGGCAGTGATACGTCTCCAACGTATCTATAATTTTTGATTGTTCCATGCTATTATATTATCTGTTTGGATGTTTTATATGCATTAATATGCTATTTTATGTTATTTCGGGGACTAACCTATTAACCTAGAGCCTAGTGCTAGTTTCTGTTTTTTCCTTGTTTTAGAGTTTCGCAGAAAATGAATACCAAGCGGAGTCCAAACGGAATAAAACTTTCGCGATGATTTGTCTTGGACCAGAAGACATCCAGAGGACTTGGAGTGCAAGTCAGAGAAGCCAGGAGGCGGCCACAAGGACGGAGGGCGTGCCCAGGGGGGTAGGGCGCGCCCCCTACCCTTGTAGGCCCCTCGTGACTCCACCGACCTATTTCTTCTGCCTATATATTCTCATATATCCCAAAACCAACAGAGAGAGCCACGAAAACACTTTTCCACCGCCGCAACCTTCTGTACCCGTGAGATCCCATCTAGGGGCCTTTTTTGGCGTCCTGCTGGAGGGGGATTCGATCAGGGAGGGCTTCTTCGTCA